TATACTATAGATTAACCAAATTAACCAAATTAGATTACCCAGGTACTTTAAGGTTTTATTAACATTTAAAATTGGTAGAAAAATAACTTTGAAATATGCAGTAATTATAACACCAACATACTTTATATTTTATCKATTTTAAAGTTATAATATTACAATACAAATGATTCATAGTCACCAAGTATAAGATTTTAGTTTTATTTTATACTATATACTAGCTGATTCCTGCGCACTTCATTGCCCGTTAATAATACCGATTTTATATGATTCAAAATTGTTGGTTAATTCGTCGTTTATACCCAGCTAGTTATGATTAAAACTTCCCGTGACAAATTCCCGTGGATTTACCCTATTTTAATCTCCATAAAAGATTTTTAACACAGTCATTTAAAATACAGGACTAAAAGTAAATTCAATCATAATATTCTATCACACTTTTAACTTTGTAAAGGTGAAATAATTTTTAAAATTGTTGCCTAATAAYAAATTGCTAATTTCTTATCCTTCCATACTAAATTATATAACCAATAGTAAACATATAATACACAAAAATCTCAAATTTGCAATAAAAAAATTAAGGGCAACTTATCAAGATAATATAATATAGCCTATATAGTCACAGAATTGTGTATCTTTCTGATGGTAAAAAAATTTAAAATCAGTTAAATAGTTCCAGAGATTAAACCKATTAAACAAACAAATTTTCTTCTTTATATTATATACCCTTATAACCTCTGCAGTATAGGGCTTGAATTTTGAAAAATCCTGCGTTACGGGATTTTCGAATTATAAAATGAACTCCATACTTATATTTTTAGTGGTTCCAGCTACATGATTTTTTTTCATTTTYAACCCCGGTAGGGGTTGAATTTAAAAAAATCMTTTCTTAGTRCGCACCCATATTGCYTAAGGGACTTCTGTACAAAATGTCAAGTCTCTAAATCTAAACCCAGYGGTTTTATCTGGGYGCTGATGAGTGAATAGGGGCGGTCTCCTATAGGTATATAGATGTATTTTGAAACAAAGGTATTCAATTAAATTAAAACTCATAAGCTTGCCACTAAATAAASTATAACATAATATATTTAACATGTATGTACCCAATCATATTAATCACATATATTATTCACAAGTAAAACCAAATTAGAATTTAATTATTTGAATACAAATATTTTATTAGTTTTTTGTTAGTTACTAAAAGTTATTTTAACATAACAATAATATATTGTGTTAATAATTGATAAAAAAAAATCAATGTTTTGTATTATTTGTTTAACTTAAAAMATGACCTGTTTATTGTGTAAAAGTAGGCCTTAACTCGGAAAATAATCTACTTACTTATATATTTATATACTGATACAGGCTCATTATTCACACAGAAAATGGACAATTAATAAAATATATAAAATATAAATACCACTAAAAATCAAATCAATAACGTTATAATAACATGTACGTGTTCTGGGTGGACGCGCCACCTCTGGGCTTTGATACACAAAAATAAACTGTATGTAAAGTATAAGTTGGTAAAACAGCATCAGTATCGGTATATTATTATGTAATATGTATACATTTATATACACACCGGTATCGTTATTACTTATTAGTTATTACTAATTACTACATCATTCAACATATTTAAATTACAATAATTTTTAAAATATATTTTTTTATCTAGACTTTGTTTAAATTTTATAAAATCCGTACTAAAGTATGTACAAAATAAATACATAAAAATTGTAGACTATTAGTATAATAATAATAATAATCTGAACCAGGATTATAATTTAATATATCCTTTGATTTAAATCATGTCATCGTTTTATAATAAACCTTAAAATTATCTTAAAACTAATGATCTATGGGTGTATAATCTATATAAATTATATTGTAACTACATGTCTCTATATCTGATACATGCAGTTGCATGCTGCAATTGTTTACGAATTCGATAAACTTATTTGTTTAACTGCTTAATGAATCGTTAAATTAATTGAATCTATCAGACAATTGACCCATGTACAAAGTATTACTGCTTAATCTAATTTAATGTAGATTCGTGGACATTATCGTTCATGATTCATCTTATAAATTATTTCCACATTAAGGTTAATCGTATGTTGATATWAGAAAATGTATTATACGCAACATTATGATTTTTTGCAATTTAAAAAACTGACTTTTTGTATTTTTTTTCACTGTTTCCATTTTGATACAAGTCGTTTATTTATATTACGCAAATAAAAGTCTAGTAAACGGGATACTGTTAATTTTCAAGAATATCGTGCGTAAAATCGTAAAAATAAATCAAACCCTTCCCCTCCCCGACATTCTCTTCCAAGCATTTATTTAGCCTATAGGCTGGTCACGTTTATTTCAACGCTACAAATTTGTTAAATGAATCGAAAACCTCGATCCTTCTATTCGTATTTGTTTTTTGCATACCTATTAATTTAAATTTGAAAAAAAAACAGCAACGCGTTTCCATTATATCCTCAACTGATTAAAATAAAATTATATTTTCTACGAGTAGTTTTTTTCTCATTTATTATTTTTCAAGAATGTTGCAACACAAACATTACAGATGTACCTACTATTAAAATATAGTATTATACGTATTTATATCAGTAAATATATTATTATTATTTTTAATTTTTAGGTTGTGATGGAAGGATTGACCGGACATATAATGTTCAATGACGATGGAAAACGGTATAATTATACACTGCATGTTGTACAGATGACAATTGACAGTACTATAACAAAAGTAAGGATATTTRAAGATGTTTATAGAAATGCCTATAGAAAATTTAATATTTGATCCATATTATAACAAAATCATAATGATTGCCAGATATCGTATTTCATTTAATAGTATCACTCTGATAATATATAGATTGCGTTGTTATACTAATAAATTTAACATTATTCTACTTACTTCTATGACAAAACAGTCAAATTATTGGTTAAGGTTTATTCATTTTTAGAATGGATTTATTAACTKTGTACATTTTATATATTTTAAATGGTTGTTAATTTAATAATACTATACAAATTACTTCTATATTTTAATTCATTATAATAAATATAGATCGCAGAATGGTCGGATACAGATGGTTTCAAAACAGTCATTAGCAAACCAGAAAGGGTTCACACCTTGGGACATTCACATAAAGGCAACGCTACATTGATCGTGGCCACAGTAATGGTGAGAGCACACAAGTTTTATTTTTATATTATGACATTTTAAAATATAGCAAACCTACACACTATTAGTGAAAGTGACATGTTCAATTGTACTCTAAATTCTGATTATAAAGCTCGAATCTCGAAATTTATAGCTAGTTCGGGGATAAGGTGCTGTAATATGCTTAGAAGAAATYCAAATATATTTATAAACATTGAAGGTAGTCGATGAGAAATAAACTGGAAAAGAAGGCTATATTAGTGTTAAGACTGAAGAAAGAGCATGCAGATATTTTAAAAGATAAAATGTCGTAAATCTTTCAAGATGGCGCATTATTCCAGAGGGTTCCCAACCTTGGATGAAATACGAGTATCACCGTACTAAAAACTTTGAACATTATCAATTTATGAACATCAAGTGATGAGCGAGGGTAAAATATAGTGTGTGTTAGAGATAGACTGATGTTGCTAAGCTAGGAGTTGAGAGTTAAATTGGTTTTATACAAACCACTAAAAGTGGTTGATGTATTCTAAACATATGTCACAGTTTCCTTTGTGTGTCGTACTAAAATACTGTTCACCTTATGATTAATATTTATTGCAAAAAGTTTAAAATGTCACATACGATATACGTATAGGGTAAACATTCTTAACCAATTCGTGACGTTTCAAACATTTAATACATTTTTAGTATTATCAACGATTTGTTTTAAATTTCATATAATATACTTATAATAAACTATATCCAGGAACTCGATATACTGAAACCATAAAATATATTAAAATCAATATACTTTAATTAATTATA